AAAGTTTTTTTGCTAGATATTGAAATGTCCTTCTCAGTGCTCAACACACAAGAAGTGCCTTATTAAATTTATCTTCTCCCCTTTCACCCAAACCCTAGCTTTTGCTTCCAAGAAGTGGGTAGAAGACTGAGGGTGCCTAAAAGCAATATTTTTCTACTGCCCAAGTATACTGTACTCGCAACCATATTGTACCAGGAGGACCTATTTCCTTTGGGGGAGATAGCAGTATATTCTTGTGTTTATTCTCTTGTGTTTTTTTTAAGATTTTATTTATTTATTTGACAGAGAGAGAGATAGAGAGAGAGAGATCACAAGTAGGCAGAGAACTAGGCAGAGAGAAAGAGGGGAATCAGGCTCCCTGCTGAGCAGAGAGCCCAATGCGGGGCTCGATCCCAGAATCCTGAGATCATGACCTGAGCCGAAGGCAGAGGCTTAACCCACTGAGCCACCCAGGTGCCCCAATTCTCTTGTCTGAAGGGTACAGATAGTTTAGTGCCTGGGCTACTGACCCAGAGGAAGGAAGAGAGAGAAAGGCCTTAGAGTGTGTGAACTCAAGCTAAAGTTTGCTCTCATGTCTGCAAAATTTCTCTTTTATGAACAGAGGAAGTAGTCCTAACTGGGTGGCTCAGTTGGTTAAGCATCAAATTTTTTTATCTTAGCTTAGCTCTTGATCTCAGGGTGGTGAGTTCATGCCGCGTGTTGGGCCCCATGCTGGGTGTGGATCCTACAAGAAAGAAAGAAAGAGAGAGAGAGAAAGAAAAAGAGAAAGGAAAGGAAAAGAAAAGAAAAGAGGGGAGGAAGGGAGAGAGGGAGGGAAGGAAGGAAGGAAGGAGAAGAAGGAGGAGGAGAAAGAAAGAGAAAGAGAAAAAAAGAAAGAAAGAAAGAGAGAGAGAGAGAAAGAGAAAGGGAAAGGGGGTAGGGGACAAAAGAGACTTCAGAGGCTTAGTTAATTCCTTCCCTAAGCATCAGCCAAGAGCAATTGTGCTGAGTGAAGAGGAAAAGATTTTATTTAGATATAAAGAAGGGCTTTTCAACAGTGATCAAAATGAAAAGCAGACCTCAGAAAGTTCTAAGTGTTGGGATCTTTCAACTGTTACCATCCAATAAATGGGAAGGTGAGGTGCTTCTTTATCTGAAGTATCTCTGTGATTCAATACTGTTCCCTATCCAGTTCCTCTCTGGTATTCTCTCCTGTACTATTGTGTCCTCTGAAGGAGAAATACCATTTAGAATGCAGAAGCTTCTTTATTGCAGTGAGTTTAGATCCTAAGGGTGGGAGATGATTACAAGTCTGATCTCATTTCTCTCTTGAGTTTGGCATAGTCTTTCACATACATCTGCATCATGCAGTTCCTGCTTTCAATTTCTTTGACTTTGATACCCAGATCTGCTGCTGCTCCAGAATAGCCCTAGTCCCCCAGGAATCCTGAACCTTTCCACCTGGACCCCATGTCTGGCTCTAAAGCCCAGATCTTTTGCATCTCTTATTGCCAATTAAGATGCCCCCAGCTTCCGTGGGCTCCAGGTCTAGAATTTTTCTGTACCACCCTCTGCTCATAACTGGCCCTCACCTACATTTACTGCTTGAAAAATACTTGCCTATTCATCCTTGAACCTTCTGAATTTAGATCTTTTGAAAATCTATCTTTACACCTTTGACTTCCCTCACCAAGGGTAGCCAATATATGTTAACCCTTATTCACATGTCTTCTCTCTATAAGCAGTGGCATAAATGTCATCATATCTAAACCTAAGTGTCAGGATTACTCTGGCCACAGGAAGATTGAGCTAACTTTCATTTCACAAGGGATCATGGTAGGAAGTGGGGTGTGGGGGAGATAAGACATTCTGGTCATATAGGCATAAAGGGTCTTACAAAGAAGTAAGAAACAAAGATGTGTTTCTTTGGCCATCTTGAAAAAAAAAGAGACCATCAGCCACTTCCACTTTGCTCTGGAGATGGGGAGAATACCTGAGATGGGTCCCTCCTAGCTAGAGGATTTTAACTGTAACCTTCAAGCAATATCTAGCTGCTTCACCATAATCACCATAGCCAGCTTCTGTCTGGTGAAGTTGAAGGGGGTCTACCTCCCTTGTTCGAGCTTTCAAAATTTCTTGCTTGTATTATCACAACAGCTTAACTGACTTCTTTGTCTTCTCTACTATCCCTGAATCCATTCTTTACACTTATTGCCTGATCTTGGGTAAGTTCTTTCCTCTTTCTGATCCTCAGTTCCCTCAACCTGAATGGAGGCTGGACAAAATAGTTTCGGACAGTCTGTGCTTTCCTCCTATTTCCCAACCTTCTCCTGTCCAAAGGGCAAAACTTATCCTTCTCTCTTGGCCCCTCTTTCCATCAAATTACTTAGCTTGCCCACCCCCTGATCTCCCTTATTCCTTCCCTATTTGGACCCCTGTGCCCCTTTTCCTTTTAATAGTGTGTAAAGCTGCTTGACACTCCCTAACCAGCTCTCTCTTGTGTGTTATAGAAGGTGTTGACATGGGACACGGGGAATGACACACGGGGGTTTCCACTTTCCAGAATGGACAATGACAGTTGGAGTCTTCAAACAACTTCCCTTCCCCCTTTAAGCACTTAGCCTAGTCTGAGACCCACTTTCCCTGTCAAGGAAAGTGACTGGCTGCTCTTGCTATCCCTGCTGCTGAGGCTTTCTGGAGAGTGCTGCTCTTCCTTAGAGGGTCAACTGCTCAACTTAAGAGAATAGTTTGGGCAGGGAACTTTTTTTTTCAATTCTTAATACATCTAAAGCATCTAATTTTCATTTTTTGAATTTATTTTAAGTTCCTGTATAGTTAAAATACAGTGCTATATTACTTTCAGATGTACAATATAGTGATTCAACAATTCCATACATCACCCAGTGCTCATCACAAATAAGTGTACTCCTTAATCCCCATCACCTATTTCACCCATCCTCACCAACCTATCTCCCCTCTGGTAACCATTAATTTGCTTTCGAAGAGTCTGTTTGATTTATCTCTTTCTCTCTATTTCTTTTTACTTTGCTTCTTTTTTTTGTTTGTTTCTTAAATTCCACATATGAGTGAAATCGTATGATATTTATCTTTCTCTGACTGATTCATTTCACTTGGCATTACACTCTCTAGCTCTATCCATGTCATTGCAAATAGTGAGATTTCATTCCTTTTTATGGCTGAATAATATTCCACTGTGTATATATACCACATATTCTTTAACCATTTATATGTCAATGGGCACTTGATCTGCTTCCATAAAATAGCTATTGTAAATAATGTTGCTATTAACATAGGGGTGCATTATCCCTTAGAATTAGTGTTCTTGTATTTTGGGGGTAAAAATTCAGAGAAGTACAATTACTGGATGATAGGGTAGTTCTATTTTGAACTTTTTGAGGAACTTGCATATGTTTTCAAGAGTGGCTGCACATTTGCATTCTTGCCAACAGTACAAGAAATTTCCTTTTTCTCCATATCTTTTCTAGCATTTGTTGTTTCTTATGTTGTTGATTTTAGCCATTCTGACAGGTGTGAGGTGATATCTTCTTGTAGTTTTGATTTTCCTTTCCCTGATAGTGAGTTGAGCAGGGAACTTTGTTTACCCTAGCATATATCAATGAATCTTGGGAGCACTGAGGGAAACTGAGGCACACTGATTGATGCACATTGTTGAGTTGGGAAAGCAGAGGAGCAAGAAATAGGACTGCTGATTCCTGAGGGCAAATGCAAGGTCAGTCCTTTATGCAACCCTACTAGACTCAATCTATTGTTGTAGGGATTCTACTTCCCTTCTCATCCTTTTATAATGTCAGAGTGGGAAAGGACCTTGGAAGCCCAGGAATCCATTCTTTTCTTACAAAAGGGGAAACTCGAGTCCAGAGGGGGAAGGGACTTCCCAAGGCCACAAAGTGGTCACAGAGTGAGTTAATGGCAAAGCCTCACCTAGAAGCCAGGTGTTCTGACCACCCTTCTCAAGTATCCATTTCACTTCACCAAGTTGGCTCATTATCCTTGGGGTATGTGGTGCTCTACATTGTAAAGGATACTCAGACCATACCTGCACACTGTTGCCTATGGATAGGAGGAAAAAGAACTATGATCAGTCACTTTCAAAGTAAAACTCAAACTTATCCAGATAACTGCTACAGTCTTGAATTCCGCTGTCTTGGGATTCTGTGACCTTGAAAGAAGTAGAATGATTTCTGGCAAACATGTCTCCAAGGCGTGGACTGAGGGTGCATCCCACCTGGGAGATTACAGCCTTATCAGAAAGTAAACACATAAATCATGAATGTGTTGGGGGGAGGGAATAAAGCATCAAGGCATTGATTTGAAGAAGATGAAGACTGGGATTTGAAGGAAGGAAAATGAATAGAGAACAGATACGGAGAATAAGCCAAATTGTGTTGAAAATGAGGATTGAGTAAGAATGGGGTGGGAATATGATGGGAAAAGGGATATATAGAGCTACAGAAGAGAACGAATGAAGTGTTGGAGGAGCTGAGGTAGTGTAGCCAAGAGAAGAGAAGTTTCAGGGGGCATGGGATCTTCAGAGCTCTAAGGGATTATTAGGGAGAATCGGGGATTTGTGTGGCCACCGGGAGCAGAGCTGAGATCCCTAGGGGAAGTCACACAAAGGAGTTCAGCTACACGCAAGGACTTTCTGAGAGTCAGCGCTGTCTTGAGAGGGAACAGACAGTTTTGATAGGTAGTGAGCTCCTCATTTATGGAAACTTGCAGTCAGGGGCTGTAAGCCTCTGCCAGGGTGCCGCCCAGGGTTGGGCCTTGCTTGGGGGTGGGGCCGGGCCGCCTGGATTTGAAAGGGTGGGGACTGTGAAAGGGGTTGGAGAAAGAGTAGGCCTATGTGTGCGTGTGTGTGTGCGCGCGCGCGCGCGTGTGGGGGGGAGTCCCCCTAGGAGTGCCCAGGCCCAGCCTGACCCCCAAGTGGCTGGTGTGGCGAGGCTGGGCTGGGCGGGGCGAGGCCAGCGGCCGGCAAGAAGGCGGGCGCGAGGGCGGGGAGCAGTGCGGAAGCCCAGCCACATAAAGAAACGGGCGACGCGACAGGGGCGGCTCTTTCCTGGGTGGGGTTTCTGAAGTCGTGGCCCGTTAGCAGGAAGCCGAACAGTTGCCCCAGCGCTAGAGAGGGACCCAATCTGAGCCTCCAGCCCCCAGAGTTTGTGCTGTCTGTACTGTGTGCTCAGCGCTGCCAGACAGCTCCTAGCCGAACTTTATCAACTCTGCCACTTTTGCAGCCACCATGCCTAAGACGGTGAGTACAGGGGATGTGCGCTGCCGCCCTGGGGGCTCTAGCAGACTCTAGTAGCCCCCTGCTGATGGCTATGGGCTTGGCCAGCCATCCGCCCACGCAGAACGCCGCGCCCTCCGCTGAGGCCTGGGTTGGGGAGGAGCGAGAATGGAGTCCTTGTCTGGTGAGCCCTCTCGTGTGAGTGGGTACCCCGCTAGAAGTGGACAGGGCGGGACCGGCCTCTTTCTCAGATTCCAGTTTCCGGCGGCATGTGGGATGAGGCAATAGGGAAGGTTCCTTGGGGACCTCGAGGTCTCCTCTTGCTCCTGATGGTCTGCGGGGGCAGGGGAGGGAAACACTTCCTCCAGTTCAGGAATTGGCGCCTTTCTGGGGACAAGGCTGCTTTGGTCCAGGAGAGGCCATGGGAAAGGTGTAGGAAGTGCAGTGGGCTGATCCAGCACCCTCTTTCACCTTTCTCATAGTCTCCCCTGGAGGCTCCATATGTTTTACACTATTAGAGGAGAAAGAGTTAGTGGAGGACAGAGTTGTGGAGGGACTCATCAGATGCTGTTTGCTTCCACCCAGGATCACTAATACTTCACTTGGAGGAGGAGGTCTACTTTACTTCCTATTGTGGAAGACTGGTTTCTTCCTCTCTCTACCGACAGATTCTTGCCCTTCCCATTGCTTAATGGTTCTTTGTCTCCTTCTATCCCATCCAAATTGTTCTGTGAGGTGTGGATTCTCCCCCCCCCCCAGTAGGGCCACACCTTTCTAGAATGGTGGTAGCTTCTACGATTTGATCCCCACCCCGCTGGCTGTTATGAGAAGAGCAGAAGCCTCCTGGGAGTTGGGCCTAGGGAGGCCGGATGCCCAGAAGGGAGGGGCATGGGAGGGGTGTGCCTGAATAATGAGTCCTACTTGCTTTTGTGCAAGTCATACCAAGAGGTTTCTGGAGCCCTTTTCTTGTTCAGGGAGGCATAGTGACCACCCTGGCTTGCGTCCCTAAGGCCAAGAAGCTTGTGCTTCCCGACCCCTCTCCCTAGAGGACTGTCTGAGCCTTGTAGTGCTGAGATAGTGACTAGTAGCCCTGAGAAGGTCCGAGCGTCCCTGGAGGAGAGACGTGGGGGGCTGGTTCTTTGGGTGTATGCTGAATTTGGTTGCCACGTTGCAATAGTCCAGCCTTTCTGCCAAGTCATTCTTGCCTTTTCAGAACCCTGTCTATTAGAAACACCAAGTTTTCAACAAGCATGTGCTTCTACATTCTCTCTTTTTAAAATTGCTCATGGTTTTATGACATGGAGTTTTTCCCCCCTCCCCCAATACACATAAAGTGACAGAGAATGGTTTTGGAAAGAGAAAGGGAAAAAAAAGCCCACTGCTTCTGCCAACACAGAGGATTATAAAGATCCTTCCAGGAGACTCTTTTTCAGTTTATCTCTCTGTGGGTGGTTTTACCTTAATAGATGGGTGGATCTCTGGGAACAGACTTGCCCCACGATCTCTCTTCACTACTGGCATCTTTCATCCTCAATTCTAAAATATCTCACCTTTAAATACAACTTAGTGGGCCTGGAAATTGTCTCAAACTTGCCTTAACCATCTCATCTCAGTCAGAAGTGGTGAAGAAGATAGCCTGGTGATCCTTTTCCTGGGCTTGGAAAGAGCCTGGAGAATGAGCTGTTTGAGGTCAGGCCTAGGGTACTGAAGGTACCTGAATACTGAAGGTATTTTTTTTTAAAGATTTTATTTATTTGACAGAGAGATCACAAGCAGGCAGAGAGGCAGGCAGAGAGAGAGGAGGAAGCAGGCTCCCCTAGAGAGCAGAGAGCCCAATGCGGGGCTCAATCCCAGGACTCTGAGATCATGACCTGAGCCGAAGGCAGCGGCTTAACCCACTGAGCCACCCAGGCGCCCCCTGAAGGTATTTTTATGCAGATTGACTGAAACTTGAATCAAATTGGAAGGAAAGGGCTGAATTTTGATAGCGTGAAAGCTTTGGAGAATTTTCCATGCTGTTCAGTTCAAGGAATAGTCAACTTTTAGGAGAAACTATATCATGCCTATTAAGACCATAGAATCTTGACCTGAAAAGGACCTCTGAGACTCTCTAGTGCAACTTTCTTCCTCTCCCCACTCCACTATTTCTCTTTTAACTAAGGGAGGATATTGGGCTTACAGAAAAGAACCTACCTAAGAGTACATGGTGAGATAACCAAGACTGGGGCCCAGACTCTTTGATGCTTATCTCAAGGACCCTCTATTCTGCCTCAGTGACTAGGTTCTTTTTTTTTTTTAATATTTTTTTAAAGTTTTTTATTTTATTCATTTGACAGAGAGAGAGAGAGAGAGAGAGAGAGAGAGATCACAAGTAGGCGGAGAGGCTGGCAGAGGGGGAGGGGGAAGCAGGCCCTCCGCTGAGCAGAAAGCCCGATGTATGGCTCCATCCCAGGACCCTGAGATCACGACCCGAGCCGAAGGCAGAGGCTTAACCCACTGAGCCACCCAGGCGCCCTGTGACTAGGTTCTTGAAGTTGAGTCCTCTCTTCTGCCCAAAGCAAACTGCCCCCTGTTCTTAGGACTTCCTGGTCCTCAGATAAAAGGAGGTAGATAATTCAGACATAGTGACATTGGCATTTGGTGGTCTCCTGTTGAGAGTTGGGGGTTTCACAAGGTGCCTCCTGTTACTTTTCTCATTCCTCATCCCAGTGCTGAGGCATCCAGGAGCATATACTAGTTCATTGCATGCCAGCTAGTAACTTTAATGGAGGAAGAAAATTCCCTATTTGCCGCTCCTCCTTCACTAGTTAGGCTATTAGGCTATTTCTGGATTATGACAGATAGGGAAGGGTAGTGGAAAAATCAAATCCGTTCATTCATATGAACCATGTCTACAGTCTGTCCAGAGTTGGTTTCACTTTTACAGCCAATTGTCTCCCTTAGTCAACCCAACCTCTGTTAAATCTGTTAAAACATGCTTCTCTGTACCCTCTCCCTGCCGATTCTTGGATTCTGCTTCTAGTTGCCAGTTTCCTAAGTCTGCCGGAATGAAGAAGCTTATTAACTGACATCTACACTTTCTGCTAAGACGGTTGTTAAAAAAAAAACAAAAAACAAAAAACAACTTTTCCTTTCTCTGCCCTCTTTAAATTTTTTTAGGTCACAAAGTCTTTGGGAGTTTTTGATCTCCCAAAAAGATTGTTTTGAATTTTCAAGGTTTTCTTGAGTTTTTGGTTTGTTAGAGTTGAAAAGGCTCTTCACAACTGTCAAGTCTAACACTTCTAATTTATAGAGGGGGGAAACTGAGGCCCACAGATAAGGAGGGCCTGACCTAGAATAATATAGCATGTCAGTAGCAAAGCCAGAACTTGAATTTAAGTCTTAGAGTATCAGTTTGGTAAGATCTTTTCAATTTGCTGAATTTTTAACCCTAGCTCAGCAGGTCAGGGGGAAGGTTATCAAATGATTGTTGATAGGACCTCCATGTGAGCAGATGTAGAGTCTACCTCCTTAAAGTAGGCTTCTGGATCTGCATTCAGCTAAACTTTAACAGGGACTGTGTGGACTGTTTATTCTCCTGCCATTCCTAGCATTGCTTGAGCCACTCGAGTGGCACTAAAATGGTACTTTGTGAATAGAAGGCAGAATCTCAGTCTTTTAACTCTTGAACCAACCCTGCCTTCAGACTTCAGGGTGGGGCAAAGGATTAGGAATGAAGGTTGTATGTGAGAGAGGGCAGCTCTGGATCCTGAATCTCTCCACCTCTGTTTCTCCAGTTCATTCGGCCCTTTGTGGAAGCATAGATGATAGAGCAGGAACCATCTTGGGGATTTCCTTTAGGCTGTTCCTTGAATAGCCCTTTGGGCAGAGAGGTGCTGGTGGGGCAGGAGGACACTTGAAGGTATCAACTAATCTGTACTTAGTTTTATAGAGGGGAAAGTTTCTCTGTGAGTGGATGACAGAGGCAGTACTGACCACTACTCTGCTAACTCTCCATTATTATCTAGCTGCCTATAACAATAGCTTTGTTTTAGTGGAGTTATTTTTATTTTTTTTCTCTTCCCCCTCTTAGAAGAGTGCTTTCCTGGATGGTGAAGTGATATTTAGAGGTCATCCATCTGGTCTATCTCGCTGACTCTAAATCCAATTCCATAGATGACAGCTATACTTATTCTGAACTCTGTTCTGCTAGTGTTGCTTGGCAACAGTCTATCTAGGTTCCTCTGTATCTTCTTGGGAGTCCCCCTCACTGGAATTTCCAGACTCATGGTCCCCATAGAGGAGAATATTTGGCTACCAACACAATCAGGGTTGGGCCTTTAATGGCTAGAGTTGATGAAAATCGGCCTTATTACAGGTTGGGAACAGTGTGTTTCTGATTTTTCAAAGATAGAACTCAGTTTATTATGTACATCTTTCCCAACTCACAGTATTCTCTCTGCTACCACATCCCACTCTTCTGCCTTCCCCCCCCCAAAAGAATACAAAGGTGGTCTACTTTGGGCCAGTCTAGTGGTCAAGAGGAGAGGTGGTCTTGTCATGATTGGCTGGCTTTGCTATTCATCCCTCCAATTTCATGCTTGATAGAGCTGAAAAACTTTTCAATTTCAGGTTTGGATTTGTGGTATAGGAACAGTCACTTGAAGGGTAGCTCAGGACTCCATTGATTTGGAAATTGGCAAATAACACTGACCTGAGAATTTTTCTTCTTCTCTTTCCATGTGAGAAGAACATCTTCCCTGTCCTCAATAAAGTGATCCAAATGAAGTAAATATTTAGACAAGTCCTTTCTTTAGGCTCTCAGTCTCTCCAATTTGTCATGAAGGAATTGTAAAAGTAATAAGGACACTTAGGGACTTTTCCAGTACTGATATCCTTGAGAGCCTTGATGATACAATTTCAAGCCTCCCATTTCTATGTTTTTTTCCTTCAGACATTTTTTTCCTCAAAATTTGAGTGCCTTCTGTACCAGGCAGTGTGCTTGGCTTTGCTGGGAATACACAGTTCATCAGCACTTGCTAGAA